AAAATTTAAAACTCAAAAGCTTATGGAAGTAATTGTTGATAATTCAAAATAAATTAATTAAAAATTTAAAAAAAAATATATATATATAGTCACATGTAAAAGATGGGGGAATGACCATCTCATCTTTGAAGATATAGAAAATAAAGTCCAATTTAGGATAACTTATTCCTGAGGACACAGTTTACCAACAACAAACAGTCCTCCTGCAGGCCAGAGAGATTCCAATATTCTAATGAGAGCAGTTCTCATGTCTTCATGGAACAGGCTTGCCAATGCAGCTCTGGGTAAGAATAATTTACAAAGTGAAACAAAGGCTGCCTGCACATAAACACAGAATCTCAATTATTCAACCCTGGCTGTCTACTGAGCAGAAGTCAGAAAGAACCACAGTACATACATTGATTTCCACATTCTATCAATAACATGGTTCTATGAAAGATGCCTGCATTATTAGGAAGACTGAAATTCTCTTCATAAGGAAAAAAATTCACTAAGTGGTGGGAAAGTGTTAAAAACTAGTTACAGGGACTGATTAGCTCAATTAGTTAATATATAATTAGAATGAAACTGATCAAAGATCTGAATCCTATATGATCAAATGAGTTAACATATGTAAAAGACTTTGCAAACCTTAAAGTGCTTTTGTTGTTTGTCCTTTGTTCTGAAAGAGGACCATGACGTCAGGGAAATGATGCATGACTTGCAAATTAGTTGGATTTAAGTAAGGGAGGGCTGTGCAAAGTCACCAGCCTCACTTTCTCCACAGAAGCTATCTGGGTCCAGTAGCAAGATATAGATCAGGATGGCTGGAGATGTCTCCAGATGCAATGAGAGACCTTAGCCTTTTTAAGCTAAGGTCTTTCCCAGGACGAGGAGGAGGAGAAAGAGGAGAGGTAGTAGTAGTAGTGTGTTACTACTACTACTACTACTACTACTACTACTACTACTACTACTACTACTACTATTAAATGATAGTTATGTAGTCAGACTATAATTCTAACCCAAAGGACCATTCTGCTTATGATGTTTAAAAAAAAAAATGTGAGCCAGATAGCCCTGCTAAATAAACAACTAAATAAACAACTAAGGACCTCTTCCTTGCTAATGGTAGGTCAGCCTGGCATCTTCATATAAAAAAGAGCAACCCCTGCTACTAATAAAAATCCACGTCTACTTTAATTCCAACTCTAAATACAAACAAGCTGACCCAGACCAGCTCCGGTAATACAAACTCTTTTTTGCTTCATTCATTTACTACACGTTTACTGGAGGTCCAACTGTGACTAGGGAGTCAACCAAAGAAGAAAACCCCATTGGGCTTCTGCAGGTGCGCCTGGAAGAACTGCTTCTGTTCTCTGGATTTCCCAGTGATGAAGTAGAAAGCAGGACTGCCTCCTGAGGCTCTCCAAGACCTAACCCCATCAAAGTCTAGTTCCAGTCTAGTTGCACTGATAACTTGATCCCACATCCAAAAATCAGCAGCACCAAAGCGAAGGTTTGCATTCTAATCTAATTGGCATTAGAGATGTAGCAAGACTTAAGAAAAGGCCCAAGACAATAGAAAAAAATTGAAAGGAAAAAAAAAACAAACCTCTGTTCAATCATGCTTTATGGATAGGTCTTCTATTCTCCAGCTGCAGTAAACCCAGCTACTAAATCTTGGGTTTGAAGAGGCTCTTTAAGAAGACAAACACGTATTTGTTTAGGACTTTTTATGACAAAAGAAGTACTATTGATGCATAACAGAGTTTGTTTGATTTATCAAGAGGCAACATAACCCTGCCCCTCCCCACCCCACTCCTTCCATACAGATGCTTCATGATACATAAGTATCACGTTGTGCCAGATAACTGGATAGCTCTGGACCTCAAATCACCTCTGCAACAGATCCTCCCTATATGCGTTTATTCTTGGGATCCACCATCAGATAGAATTATGTCATAAGCACAGGCAGCAGAACTGGAGGAATAGAATGCTGAACTTAAGAGTCAGGGAGGCATGGGTTCAAATCTTGCTGGTGGAACTCCTAACTGGCAGTTGAAAGAATGCTGACTCTAATAAATGCTGACCTCTGTTCTAATCCTGTCTTTGCAACCTCAGGCAAGTCACTTAACCTCCCTGAGCCTCAGTTTCCTCATATGTAAAATGAGAGGGTTGAACTAGATGGTCTCCCTTCCCCCTCCAGAGTTATGATCCTATAGAAATTAGGGGATTGAACTAAATCAGAGGTGTCAAAAGAATGCAGCCCACCCCCAACTCTTTGAGTCAGATTAAAATGTATTTGGGAAATATTTAACAAAATAAATAGAAATACAATAAAATATAGATAATACTACATTTTTAAACAATGTCAATATGCAGCCCCTTATTTAGGGAGTATTGGCCCCAATTTCTATTTGAGTTTGACACTACTGACTTCTGAAGTCCTGTCTATGACCCTATGACTAACAGGTCATCTATAAAATTGGGAGCATGCCTCTCAGTCCTACCTGGGGTTGGGGGTGGGGGTGGGTTGCCAGGCTCAGAAGAGATAATAATGTATGTAAAGCATTTTGCAAACCAGGTTGAGACTATATGAAATAGTGCAGGGGTGGGGAACGTGCAGCCTCAAGGCCACACGGTCTTCCAGGTCCTTGTGTGCAGCCTTTTGACCAAGTCCAAGTTTTACAGAACAAATCCTTGTTCTGTGAAGTTTGGATTCAGTCAAAGGGCCCCACTTGAGGACCTAGAGGTCCCACCTAGTGGCACCTAGAGACACACATGTGGCCTTGAGGCCAAAGGTTCCTCACCACTGGAATAGTGGGTAGAGCTGGCCATGGAGTTAAGAACTGAGCTCAAGTTCTGTCTCTGAAGGAATACAGTCGTGAGCCCTGTCAACCTGGGCAAATCATTTAACCCCGTAGTGTCTCTAAGGATCTCTCTACTGGCTATAAGATGCAAACAAGTGCCAGTCAGCATTAAAAGAGGCAATTTCCTTACTGGCGGCTCCCTACCCTACACCACTAAAATCACAAGTTCAATTTTTTTTAAAAATCCCTCTGATACTTGTGGCAATATTGACACCAATACTTCAAGGATTCATGGGTATGGATACATCCTCCACTGACAGAAATCACAATTCTTCAATTCCTCTTTTGGTGGTCTTCACCACCTGGTGGCCAGACCCCTACTAAGGAGCTGCCCAGAATTTAATTGGTCTGGTCCTAAGACAAAAGACAGAGTCAATCAGTGGCTGGACCAATGAACTTCTGGTTCAAATACTCTTTAGCTTCATAGGACCTGTCATTTCCTCATCCCCCACTTTAGAGTTCAGTCTCCCCCCAGAACTGAGCTTGGTCTTCACCAACTATTATTAAACCCATTTTACATGTGAAGAAATGAGGCTAAGAGGTTAAATGACCTGTCCAGGGTCACTCAACTATTAAGTGTCAGATACAGGATCTGAACTTGCATCTTTCTAATTCCAAGATTCAGTACTGTATCTACTAGTAATATGTCCTAGTAAAAATGCTTTCTTTCCTGGAGAAAGCTTTTTACAACCTGTTTGTAAATCTATGATTTAGTCACAGTTCATACAACCTTCACTTGTCATGAATCCAGGATTATTTTTAAGAATATCTTTCCCTGGGGTTCTTCTTTGAGTGTGATCTTGCTTAATTATAGGTAGAGTATTTAATAAATGATCCCTAGTTGTTGCTGTTTTTTTTAATTCCTCCTTCCAACTTTTTGTCAGTAAGAGATCATTTTACCATGCTCTGTCTCTTCCTTCCCAATATTCCCAATATTCAAGAACAATATATCACCTCTTTGATGACACTTCAGACAATGTTTGTTTTCTAGGACCAGTAAACAGTGTGCAGTGTCCCTGGGAAAACTCCAGATTAACAATACCTTGTACAGTGAGGTGGGTTTTTTTTTTCCCCTCCTGAGTATGAAGGAGATGTTAATCTAGAAGACTGGGATGATAAAGTATAAAGAGATCAACCATCAAGCTTTCAACACTAAGGCTTTAGAAATGCTGTTGAAAGACATTAGGGAAGGAAACGACAACCAACCATTTACAAAAGGAACCTGTGAGACTTTTGCCTTCCTGGGTACAAAAGAATTATGCTTAGGACACCACAGCTTCCATGCTCGTAGAATTTTAGAGCAGTTATTTCGAATCTCAAACCTGAAGCTTGACTATGACCCAAAAGAATGTAAAAGAAGCTCCAAAGTTGTAGTTTTTATCGCCGCCCAAATAAATATAATCAGACCAAAGCCTTTCTTGCCAGCCCAACTGGGTTTGAATAACCTCAAAAAGCCCCAGAAAATACTCCAGGGAAGACACCTTATCTCCTTTCACCTCCTGCCTAAGGGCTCAGACTGGAATAATTCCAGACTTTTGCTATCCCAGAACCCTCTCCTCTAAAGCCTCGGTGAACAAACAAACCCAGGGGTAAAAAAACAACCTCGGCAAAGTGCTGGCAGGAGTTATATAGCAAAACTCTCAGCCCCCCAGGAGAAGGCCAAACACGTGGGATGTCATTTACTCAGTCTTCTCTGGGACTGCACACGCCAACAGACGCCTGCACACGCGCGCGCACACACACACGCACACACACACCCCGTTCAGCATTTGGTTTCTTCTTACTGCTGGTTTGCCCAAGCTTGGCGATCAGCATCTGACCCGTCTCAGGATCACCCCAGCTCCCCCTA